CCCCCCTTCAGTTTACTGCACAACACAGCCTCGTTCACTTAGTGCTAAACTGAATGGATTGCTCCATCTCCTATTTCCCCTGCATTTCCCTTTGTACCTGTGCAGGGACACTGCAAATGGCAAGGAGCTGCATATATATTCAAATAGCAGCACTACCCTTGACATTGTGAGGCAGAGACCCAAAGATACTCCCCAAAAAGAAACATCTAAATATTAAGTGATTTAGGTAAATTCGTACTTTAGGCAAAACCAGATAATCATGAAGAACAAAAACATTTTAATATAGAAAGAGCATCAATAAATCATTACAGAGGATTCTAGAACAATGCCTCAGTATTTTATTATTCCCGGAGTCCCTACTTTGTCCTTGAACAGTTAAACATTTTTCAAGTAAACATCAGCTAGTCAGAAATGAGAGAAACACGTTTGTCCTGTTCCATCAAACCATTGTCAAGCTGATGTATTTCCACATAAAACAGACTTTAACAGTCTGACGTTGACAGAGCGTTGTACAGAACCGTACATCTCCTGGTAACGTATCGGGGGTGCTTTTAATGCACATATTCAGACAAGGTTCACACAAAGTGAAAGGCTCAGTCAGGGTCACGTGTGTCTTGAAGATATTTAGATTCAAACTTGGTTGGAGAGACAAAAAGTGAAGTCGAAATAAGTTGAAATGTAATAAAGTGAGACTAACTAATAGTCCTTTGCTGACAAACAAGCATGTGCTTTTAAACTACCATTTATACTACTAAAAGAAAAACTGTTAATGTATTTCATCACACACACACACAATGGAACACACTGATGCATCTCTCACAGCCTTTTTGGAAACCCTGTTATCCTACTCCATTTAGAAAGGGATCAAATATCTTAACACATACTGTAATGCCATTCCACTGCAAATTAACCAAACCTCCAGATTTGATAAAGTAATGTGATAATGTTGGTTATGTTACAATCTAAGCACCATAATAACTGACGCTTGAGTGTAGAAATCGTCAGTCAGTGAAGTAGTTGTTATTTTGGGTTGGGGGACGAGAAGCCTGAATCCATCTGTCTGTCTGAGCCAAATGTCTCTGATGTATAGAGGGCTTTTATGTGAGTAACATGTCTTCTAGAGGCCATATTCACTCTCTGAAGGAGATGTTTTTTGATGAAAGTATTGTGTCCCTAGTCAGTAATGTTAAAAGTAGAAAAGCAACTAGGGTTATTGTTACCATGCAACTATTGTCAAAGCTGTTTTGGGTTTTAAATGGGTTAAGAGAGGCAGAAATGGTTAATGTTTATCAAAACCCTGTCCAATAATAGTATGTATGTATTATTGGGGGTGGGGTTAGGGTTTTATAAATGTTAGTTATTCACTCCACCAGGGAGTCTTAGGAAAATTCATATTGCTTTTAAATTCAAAATGATGGCAAATGCTGATGTGAATGCTGAATGTTGATGAATAATACATCTGATAATGTAGACTCGTCATTCTTCTCACCTTCAACCTGTGTTTCTCTCTCTGTTTTTCCACCATTAGCTTTCTTACGTTGACGCAGATGGAAACTCAATCAACATGGTCCAGATGACCTTCCTCAGACTACTGACAGCCTCTGCCAGGCAGAACTTCACCTACAGCTGCCACCAGTCTGTGGCGTGGCACGAGGCCAGCAGCGACAGCTACGACAAGTCGCTGCGCTTCCTGGGCGCCAACGATGAGGAGATGTCCTACGACAACAACCCTTACATCACGGCCCTCTCAGACGGATGTGCGGTAAGCCCTGTCCACTGTCTCTGCCATTTGGCACTAATGTATTCCTGAAATGAAATCACATCGGCGGTGAAACACAAGAAGAATGGAAGGCTAACATTGGAGCTGATGTCAATTTCATAACTGTGAAACTCTTTTCAGACACACATTAGCAACGTTTTCCTAGTAGCTCAAGTCTGGAGACCTGATGATGAGCCTGAACACACAGTAAAACGTTTTGTGCAGTTAGGAACATGTGACCCAATGTGTGTGCATCTTTCTGCTTGTCTAATGGCTTTCTCTGTGTTTGTGTGTCTCTCCTGTTGCAGACGAGGAAGGGCTATGGAAAGACTGTGATGGAGATTAATACTCCCAAAATCGATCAGGTTCCAATCATCGATGTCATGTTGAGTGACTTTGGGGACGCCAACCAGAAGTTTGGGTTTGAAGTTGGGCCCGTCTGCTTCCTTGGCTAAATAAAAACAAAGAGAAAAAAAGGACTTTATGGGGCCAGCAAAGAAAGTCAAGTTGAGACGTTTTGGGTACCACCAAACCCCATTTCCAGCCCCCCACCATTTTCTATGCCACATGCAAGTTTTGAATAAGAGATGGTGTAGCAAACATGTCTTTCCATGTATGTACCTGTACCCAGGAAAATACTTGTTGCCCTTGTAGGGCTCGAACCACATGACTTAACCACGTTATGGAGCAAAGGTGAAGGACATTTGAACGCGTGGCAGAGGAGGGGGAATTGGAGGTAACCATCAGAGGGGTCAGGAGACATGGGGGGACACAGACCTCCTCTCTGGTTTCTCCAGGTGCTGTATGAAAACGACTTCAATGGTGCTTGTTCAAACACACCAAAAATATAAAGAGGTGCTAAGAAAGAAGGTGTATTTTGATAATAATAAAAAAAAACTGTAATTATTATTTTGTACAATACTGTTATTTCTGAATCCACTTTCAAAACTTGCATGTGTATCTGATTCTGCTTCCGGCTCTTTGATTTCAATGTTGGTTCAAAGTTATACAGTGTAAGTTAAAGACATCATTCAATCGAATACATTTATAATTCTGATATTTTTTTGTTCAACACATACTGTGTATTTGTCATGAAGCAAATAAATTGAGCATTCAAACAATTCTCTATCGCTAAATTTGACTGTATTCCCTTTGTATATATTGACAGTCCCAACCTTGAGGTTATTTGCTATTTTGCCCTTGTGACCGTAGGTGAAACAACTGGCAGGATCACACCATCTCCCACTAATGTTGTGATCCTGTGCTTGTAGGAAGCAATCATGGCATTCATTTTTCCTTTATTTAATTCCATTTGTTGTTTTTTTTCTGTTTTGTTTTCTGAAAGGCTTTTTATTTTGGTTGTATACCTCAAACTTTCTTGATAACCTGTAAGATGCAAGGATGATATGCCCTGTATATACCTTGGTTAAGCAATTAAGTTTATATATTTTGGGTGGGGATTTTTTTTAAGAGAGAAATACTTTAACTGTTAGACATCCACTGTTCAAATCCTTCTGTGAATGCAATGAGAAGCCCTTTAGGTGACCCATTTTTGTAACTAAAATGAGAAAATGTTTTAATGTGCTTTTTATAGTTCATTTAAATATTAAAAACTGGATTCTAAACAACAGTGAACTGAATGTCTCAATGGTTTGTGTAAGATCTACCTACTGTACATGCTTTAAATCAATATGATAATTCAACTAAGACTGGGCTGGTGCAATTCCATCTCTCTTGAAACCAATAAAGACATCTTACAATAAGTTCCTTTCACTCTGAGTACATAAAATGTCTCATTTTGTTTGTCATAGCAATATTTTAAACTTCAATCTAATTTACATTTTTGTATATTTGTTGCTTTTTTCATGGTCACCGGGAAGCAATAGCTATGGATTTCCCTTTGTATCTCAGCGTAATAAGTGGCTATTCAAGAAGCACACACATTAGGCCATTTCACTTCACATGAGAAGTGTTTTTTGATCATTCAGATGGGAAATATCAAGGCATATCTTACACAAAGGATTTGAAAGCTCCAATAGAGTGGGGAGGGTTTTTTAGCACAGTAATCAATGTGTGATAAATGCAAATTATTTTTCCCTGACAAAAATCCTTTATACAGATTCTGAATGTCAATGTGGGCTTTGCGATCTATGTGATATAGTTTTTTCTCAGAATGGAATTACCTGTGAGTGCTTGGATTGTTAATACAAATAGGAACTGCATGTCTGACGTCTGAGTGAGAAAATTGTTTTCCTCAATTTGGTATTGCACGGTGGGATAAAGAGTTGGACTGCGGTGAAGCAAAGGAAAAGGAACATGAAATCATAATGCTTTTTGCCAAACAAAGCTTTATATTTACTGTACGGACACGTGCTATCAACCTTAGATGTTAAGTAAGAAAGCTAATTTCTGAATATGTCACACTATTGCGTTTTCATCTCTCTGCCCCTTGTGTTGAAAACACTTGAATTTATCACGAGTGTATGGGTGGCCTATTTCTAATTATGATTATATTACACACCACAGAGGGGAAAAAACAGGCCTCATTAGTATTCAGTCTGCCTGAGACTCCTTGAAAAAATGTTAGCTGTGGCCCGTGTCACTTCAAAGGATTGACCACTGCTAAACCTTTTATTTTCTCCTTGAAGAGTGCAAACGAAATCCACATAATAACAACTGACAAGTCTGTGCTGAGCAGCAAAATAAATGGACTTTGTATTTTCTTTTTATCTTATGTGGGTCTTTGTAGAGAAACGACCAAAGAGAATACTCATGTGGAACCGCACACACACAAGGAAAACAATCAAGAAACCCTCCGAATGGCTTCAGAAGAGGATTACTTGCATCCTCAACCGGTGCTTTTACATATTCAGGACCTACAATTTATTTAAATGAAGCAATCAAACTTCTTTGAGTTGTTGTGGAAGATCACAGTATTATTCTCCTTCATTATCATATGTCACTTTTTTGGACGTTTTTTTTCCCTTAAGCAGGCATTCTGTGAAGGGAGAAGAGAAAGAAGTAGCCATGGTTAAACACTGACACATTCAGGCTCTGTTATATTAATTGTAACCTGTTTGTTGAGTGTTCACTTTGCCTATAATTAAAGGACATTACCCTTGGGGACCAATCTTTCCTCAGCAACCTTCCCAGTTAGCCCAACATACTGTAGAGAAAAGGGAAAACTTTTAGCGACTCTCCAAATTGCAGCATTTACCGGATCAGGGGATGTGAAAAAACTACACAGCCTGAAGGAGCACGGTGACAGTGGGCTTTAAGTGAAGCTGAGATACTCATCTGAGACAAGAGCAGCAATTCTCCATCAAGACCCATCAGGGAACAATCTAACTCACCTTACCCCACCCTGAGACACAGCGTGAGCACTCTTTCACAGGAAGTGTCTCAGGTCAAAGCAGATGTGGGGCAAATTGTGCCTGGCATGCTAACAGGATATCGTTTACCATGTGAAGTTTGGCATATAAGTGTGCTAACAATACCAATCAGCACTGCACACAAAGTAATGCTGATGAAAATGTCTGTGGGTATTTGGTAAAAAACTAAAGTATTGGAAAGATCTAAGTTCTGACTGGTTAATGGCTATAGTTGAAAAGTTGGGTAAATATCATATAGAAATAGCAAAGGTTAGGGGATCACTAAAGTCACTTGGAGACAGTCTTTGGGGAGCATGACTGAGTGGAGATCTCTTATCCTTGCACCACTTATCCTAACCAAGATACAAATTCTTCAACTGTCTGTACAAAATCTCACGAATTCTGACTGTTGTCATTGCCAACAATGGTGCTAGCTATAGCCAAAAACTACTTGTGAGAAATTCAAAGAATAACTTGTTGTGTTAGTAACTGACATAATGGTGCAGATGTAGTTCTTTTACCTGCCTCTAGAGAAATGGAGGGACGGAGGTCACAACAATGTCTTTCTTGAGCAATGTCTGTGTTTTTGGTGTTGAATACGTAATAATTCACCTTCTGCAGCAAGAGGTAAATGTTGGCTTCTCTCAGATTTCACATTTGTAGCCACGGTTCCTTAAGATCACTATCTGATTGTTGGAAAAATGCCTTTCTACCATAGCTCAACGTGTTTCGTTTTTATTGATGTTGTGACCCTTTCCTTATTCTTCTAGTATTTGCAATTAGTGAAAAAGAGGGGCGGAAAAAGTCTTAATGTCAGCGGCAAATATACACAGCCTGGAGCTGATTGCTTTCTGAGTCCCACCAGAACAAATATATTGAAACACTAATTAAATGTTGTATTACTCAATTATCAGAACTTTGTTTTGATGTTCCGCAAATAAATGTAATTTAGTTAAAAGGGCTTTGTTGTCACAGTCACACTGGGGGCTCTGATCGGCTCCTCTGGGTCACACGAGGTAAACCAGCTCAGTGGAAGCTTTCCAACTTTAATACTAAAATAAATTCTGTAGAGGCAATCATGACCAATGCGTAATGGTTAATACTGCTGACCACAGCATAAATGTCTTGTTGATAAAAAACAATGTTTATTTCCGAGGTAAAGTAAGCTGAGGCAATATTTATAATTCCTCAGGGGCAAATTGTTATGAAATACAAGAATCCACCACGAACCAATGTACCTGTAAATCCTTTCGACGTTCATTTTGGAAGATTATATGTGCAAACACAACAAAATGCAGCCTGAACCTAACCCTAACAATATGTACACTCAGTGGTGGAGGATAACCACTTCTGTGGCAACAACAAACAGAAACGAATTCTTAACCAAATAGCAACAAATTAAGTAAAATAAAGTGCTAATTTAGGATAATTCAAAGTCTGGGGTTCGGATGTAATGTCTGTATAACCAGTGGTGTAAGTGTGTTTAAGGTGCATAACAAAAAGTCATTCAAATAAACTTAAAGCAGCATGGTAAATGTGGGCCTGTGGGGGAGAGGGGAGAAAGAGAAGCCGACAGACATCATGTGTGGGAGTGGGATTGTAACTTCTCTAATAGACCCCTAATGTTCTCCTGTCTCACAACTGCTGATGTTCAGTATGCCCCTCCCTCTTCTTTACATTTGCTGCAGAACATGTACAGCACCTCCACTTGACAGATGGGTTATCGGTTCATGTACACTTCATTTGTACTTTTCCTATCACCTATATTACTCACTAGCCCGAAGCAGGGCATCACACATGCAGGCAGATCGCTCGGTCAGCACAGGTAGGGAACGAGTGGCAATCATTTTAAAGCACGATCCTGGCTCTCATCTCGTCACAGTCCTCAGAAAGCATCCTGGGAAATGTGCTCATTACACAGACTGGCTGGGAAACACTGGGGAATGATCTTACTTCTTGACTCCTACCACTCTGTTCCCATCACATCCATTCTTAGTGAAATGAATGGATGTAACATGCTCTAATTTCATTACAACTCCAGTGGCCTGATGTCACTGTGTTCTCTACAGAGCACATGATTAACCACTGCCAGGAGCAATTAAGAAAAAAGTTACTCTCACAACAATTACGTTATGACCTTACGAAGTTTTTATCTCCTGGAGAAAATATGTGAGGTTGATGTTTATAGGGTATATATTATTTCACAATAGCCTTCTCATTCTGGAGGCCTCATCTGCAAACTGTGTGGGAAAGCCTCTCAAACAAGAAGGTGATTTTCTTGGATTTAAGTCGTTTTTGCTCAAACCATTTCCCTCTCTGTAAATCAGCCACCTGAGCTTTTGCATTAAATGGATTATTGTGATCTAAAGCAACATGAGGCTACAGCTAAAGACAGATTATCCGTCTTTATCCATGAGGAAGTGAAGTCATAAATGTAATCGCCTACTGTAGCTTTGTGTTTAATGGACAAACAACTGGTGACAGAGTGGTATCAATCTTCTCTTCTAACTCCTGGAGTGAAAGCAAACACGCATTTTGTTTTACATTACACTGACAATAATGGTTCCCTGTTTGTTGATCACTGGTATCCTGTCTTCCTGCAGTACATCATGAAGAGTAATACTGATATCCCAGACCCTGCAGTGGTTGTAATAGATAGGGAGTGTCAGCGGAGAGACATGTATGAGTTTCTGAATCCATTGTTTCAGTGTGAGTTGACTCCAGGCATCAGTCACTCCCAGAACATCCTTGTAGGAAAGCCTCGGACTGCCATCAATGATTCAGTGAACTAAATGGCGCTCCTGTTGTAGAGCTGAACCGGTACCTGGTTTGTATACGCTCTTGTTCTGTTTAACTTTCAAAATCCTCACGTCTTCAAGGCCGTATTTAAAAGAGGAGATATAGAAGTGGACGGAGTGATCAGAGAGACACAGCAAGTGGTTGTGAACAAGCCCTTCGGCGGGTGCCAAGGTTCCCTTCGTTATAAAACCTGAGAGACTGTCAACATCCCATCCACTGGGACACATAACAAAGCTCAACCCCGTGAAACGCTTCAAAGACACCCTCTCATTTGAATAAGTTCAGATGAGCACTCTGCGCACGAGGAATTGTATCCGTGCATGGCAATGAATCCCGAGCAGGACAGCAGGCGCTCTGACCTCCCTGCCAATAAATTCTAGTGCTTCTCCCGGGAGGTAGTGAGCCGGCGAGCTCTTAAATAGCAGGTATGGGACAAGCGTGAAGATTGTGTTTACCAGCCAAGGACAAGGGAGGCAAATCTCACGGGGCGAGGGAAGACAGCGTACAATAGATCTTGGCAGCACCTGTTAAAACATTTAATAGGTAGACTTTCCAAAAAGACATT